TGGGCCAATGTTTTATCGTCAGATTCTTCGTCTTCGCGTCTTTCCAGTTTTGAATCACCCTGCTTTCTCGAGACGTACAATGACCACTTCAACTCTTCTTCGGAACATGAGTTGCTAGGTAGGCATTCGTCTGGCAAAGTATCGCCCTTCACCAGGTTCCCGTATCGATCATGGTCATGGTCAGTGTTGTTGTTGTCTTCCGTCGTAGTTCTTTCAGCTGTGAAGATGTACTTCTCTTGAATGACAGCATCCTGATTTTCGGAATTCATCTGCCTTGAAGGCATTTCAACCTGAAAACAGTATAAACGTGACTGGCCCGCCAGTTTTCACTTGAACCCTTTACTTTATGAAATATGTGTGACTGGATTTATGGAAACGGTGTTAACTGAAACCTCGTTCTTTGCACTAACTGAGCTGCAGGTATTGCTAATATAACTCTTACATGTCTGAAAATCACTTCAGTTCACGGGCAAAAGGAGAAGAGTATAAAAGGAAGGTAAGAGAGTAGAGGGAAAAAACGACAATCCTTTAACTTTTTATATCGGCTTCTCTGGAGACACGAAAAACTTAGTTATGGCGAAGAGGGTGAAATTTCCATTGACACTGTTTTCATAAATCCAGAAATATACGAACATATTTTCAATATAAGGGTTTCCGGGATGAAGGAGAAACAAGATTCAGAAACCAAATACATTTTCTGTAGAAATTGCACTCACGCNCTCAGAAACGGTTTCAGGAACTGATATTTTCTTGCGATCAAACTTTGACATGAATGTACCCTTCAGTTGATTCACAAGTGAAACTTGGCAAATCTCTTCTACATTTTCGAGAACTCTCTGACAGTGCAGCAAAGATTTCTCTTGGAATCCCTCGCGAGATTCTAACCGCGCAAGACTTACATTACATTTCAGAACATCGGGGTGAACAGATCCAAAAGCTCTTGTGAAAATCTCTAGTGCATCTGTAAGACATTGCCTCGATTGCTCAACTTTTTCCATGTTCGATAAAACAAGCCCCTGCTTCAGCAGAATAGTAGCAACGGTTGGATGACTTGCGCCACATCTTTCGCGACAAAGCTTTACAAGATACACCAAAAATTTGCATGCCAAATCTTGATTACCTTGATGTACACAAATATCTACTAGGGTCTCTGCAGCTGTAATGAAAAAATCCACAGGGAAGTTTGCTTTCACATCAAGAAGTTCTATCAGTTCAGCCAACGTCAAAGTCTTGGTGTCAATGATTGCTGAAGCCTTTGACGAGTTTCCCAGCAAAAGGTAAACTAGGCAAATTTTCAACGAAATACATTTTGTCAGTTCCTCCGTTTGATTTAATTCTGATTCACAGAAAGATTTCAACATCTCAAACTCCTTCAAAGCTTTTCTAAGATTTCGGTTCTCTAAGGAGGTACACGCTTCATTAAATTCTACAACGGCAATTAGGCTTGCAGGTAAGGGAGCTTGACGTAGCATCGGAAAGAGCTCACTTCGAACTTGGTGATCAGCTGTGTGGTCCCTTTGAGCCTGATGTACCAGTCTTAAGTTGCTACAGACAGTTACAATATTCTCTTCAACTACGTGGCCATTGGTCAAGTTCTTGAGTAAATTAAATTTTTTGAGAGCAGTTTCAAGATTTTCTTTTGCGTTTTGGAAAAATCCTTTGCAAATACACACACAGCCTAAATTATTATAAGCAACGCCCGAACTAACATTCAATGCCTCCTCATCGGCACCGTCTATGTGGCTAACGGACTGCTCCAAAGCATCAGCAGAAACGTCAGGACTACACATGTTGAGAGCCAGCGCAGCACAAGCGTTGAGAGATCGGACGAATAAGTTTTCAGAGCGCGGCTGTGCCAACAGAATGGTTCCATTTTTGGAATTCCACGGGGAATTGATTATGTATGTTCGCTCTACACTGTTTATGATTTGTTTCTCCTCTAAACTGGGGAAAGAAAAGTCATTTGGCGTCGACTCTTGGAGGTGTTTGTAGGTGTTTTGCAGTGACTTTTCTGCCTCCGCAGAATTTCCAAGTTGAAGCTCACTCTGTAATTTTCCAATGCATCTGATAACTAGACAACATTTGTTTTCGTATTCTGGGTAGGAAGTCGGTTCTAGTGTTTCTACGATAGGGAAAACAAGTGGTTACATGTATGTTGCAGGTTGAAATGGAAAAAAATAATCAACTGTAGGAACATCAATCAACTGTAGTTTGAACAACAGCTTGTAAGTTAGTCCCACATATGAAAAGAATCAGGGGGCATATCTAACTACTGTCTGAAATGAGATAATAAAGACAAGGACGATTGTTAACCAATTTCATTAAATCATGTGCGCATGTGCATGTCAAGACATTTCTCCTTTACTTTACCCTTAGCGATTGTATACGTTCGCCTTGCTTTTACCTTACTAAACCAAAACATGATTCATTTGTTAACTAGAAACACTACAAGTGCTTAGTATGCGAATCTGAAATAAATATGCAGGTACTTGACCTTGGTCTGTAGATGGTTATCGGGATCGCCGAATTCTTTTGTAGCCGCGTAACACAATGTCGCGCCATGTCTCCCGGAGATTGAAAAGCTTATTTATTTTTTCAAGCCTTCCACAGGAAATTAATTTCACACTTGCGCCAATTTTGTTTGCATAAAAAATACATCTGTCAACACGTAGCGTAAAATAAGTACGACCCCATTTTCAAAAACTTGCCAAATTTTTGCGGATTGCCAAAATTTCTTCCAAATTTTGGCAAAGCAAACAATTTTGTCTTTTTTTTAACCATTCAAATGTCATACTTGTTTTTAAAACATGTCTGGATAAAATTACGGCTTGAAAATAACTTTGACGGCTAGTCCAGTTTGGCGCGTGTAATGGCGGGACAAAATCATTTTTTACCCGGTCTATCTGAGGCTTTTTACAGTTATTTCAATGCAAACGAGGAATATGAGCGGCGTTCTTATTCAAATTCTTATGACTCGTACCCTGGATCCGGTTACTGGCATCAGTTAGAAGAGATGGCTTCAGCGAGACAATCTTCTTCGATCGCAAGTGGCGCAAGTAACAACACAAACGCAAGGCGAGCAAATCTACTCGTCCAAGTATGGGCCGAAAATCCCCAGCTGCTGTAGAGCGGAGAGTCAAGAACATGCAGCGTGGAGCTTGAAAAATCTGCGAAGAGTTAAACTCTCGCATGGAATCTAAAAAAATACTTAATGGAGAAATATAGATCTTGTGACGTATATTTCAATCGGTAACGGTTTGGTTCCAACATGTTGGTCTAATGCGACCACTGCCAAAATTTGGAACTTGCGAAATTTTTGCCAATTTTTTTCCTCGCTAAAAATTGGAAATACTTGAATTCGCTCTAGTGCGACCCGGCCCTTAGTATAGCATAGCCACCTTGATAAATCGCTGGGTAAAAGTTTTCTAGATTGATTATAAAACCGAAAACCTGAGCTTCCCTTTTTTCCAGACATGTATTTGGGCCTCTGTACGATATCGCTGTGAACCCACAAAATGGCAGATTCTGAGGCATGCACTAACGCAACACAACCGCGTAGAGCCAAGAAAAAACGCATAATTGTCGTCTGAAGCAGAGTAGATGTGTTTCAGATAGCTCTTGCAAACATGTCGCTGCGAACGCGAGGACGAATGTCTTACGAGACTTCCAATAGTCTAAAAAAACTGTCTGAAAAGCCATGCGCGTAAACTGTACATTATTTTGTCACCCGCGGTATGAGTTACAAAAGGATCTTTAGCTAAGTTTAGTCTTAGCGGAATATATATAAAAGAAAACAGACACTGGCTGCTCCAAGGCTAGCCTGCGAGAGCATCCGCTGAAACAAGAGCCGAAAAACTATTTTCGTCAAAGTATACTTAACAATATATTAAAGTACAATCACAACAACCAAGAAATTAGGCAACAAACCATGGCATTTTTAGATTAAGTTTACCTGTTTCAACCGGCATTTTCCGCTTACATCATCAACAACGTGCAATTTCCTGTAACTGAAGATCATAAAATAGCAAGGTTATACGGGAATCAAGTTGTCAAAATACTACAGTGATAGTAGTAAATGTATTGATGCTTTAACTGAAATTGGCGCCCATTCCGTTGATCGTAAGATCGTAAATTCTCTTCATCGCCATACTTTTGGATACTAGACACTTTTAGTTTTGTTTCAAAACCGCGTAAAATGTACACCATTAGGTAGAACAATAAATTGAGAGCTATATTTACTGGCGAGACTGATCGTAGGTTGGTGCAGCAAGCAGTCGGAGGCTGGCAAGCTTCTGTGTAAAGCATGAGCCAAAGTTGGCGCTAAAATTTCAAATTCGTTTTGCAGTGTGAATAAAGCATATAATGAGCATAGGGGAGGGGGGGGGGGGGGGG